TGCATCCAATTTCCACTGGGTGTTCCTTTAAATAGCCAGAGGGAAATTAATTTATGGTGGATGACTGTGATGTAAGACTGAAGTTAATTTGTGTCGTTTTGTCTCTTGCGAAGGTTGGTAATGATGCCCCTGTAAAAGAATAAACTGGGGAAAAATGTCTGTTTTGATGGCTGTTTACATAAACATTGTGCAATGTTTTTTTTAACTCTCTCTTACATAAATATATTCACATACAGAGAAAGAATCCAAACACACATACACACACATCTCTCTCTCTCTCTCTCTCTCTCTCTCTCTCTCTCTATATATATATATATATATATATATATATATATATATATACACTGTATGTATAATGGTTATATTTTGGGCACAATTTGCTTCATAGACTCGATGGGAAAATGTTACATGAAAGCTTTCAAGGAAACTTGTAAACACGAAGAGAGAAAATGCGATTTTGCAATTAGCTTCGTTACTCCTGACGAATTTTCCTGACGGGAAGGTAAACAGTAATATTAAATTACTTCTAATAATTCATTTAAACTTTAAGGTAATAAACTTCTCTTCAAAGACTTTTACTCACCGGTAAGGCTATTAATTATTCAATACATTTTAAATGGTATCATAAGATTTACAAGAACTTGAATGTCAATAATACTTTGTCTTGTTGTATTAATTATCCTTAAACTGAAAGTTTATTATGATAATAATTAGAATACAAAAACTAAAATAAAACAAAAGAAAAAGAAAAATACAATTATGAAACAAAATATTTATTTGATTGTATATAATTAAATTATAATTCTCATTTGTCATAAAACAAATGCGTGACCCCAATTCTAAGTATTAATGCACGACAGTTATATAATTTTCATCACATTACACCTTTCAGCTTGAGTCTGCCGTAGGGATTGAATCATATACAACCCCTCAGTTTTAAATTTTTTTAAGATATTACATTTCCAGGAGTAAGGGGTGGGGTTGGGGGTAGAAGAGCTTCATTCGGACGAGCGGCTGTGTTTGCTTAGGCCGCGAGAAATCAGTCTGAGAGGAAATTGGTTGAAGTTTTAGCCAGAAAACCATTTTCATTTGAAACACTTGTGATACGTCTCGATAAGTTCGTATAGAAATACGATTATTGACTCTGAAGCACAGGAAAACTTAGGTGAGGGTAAATATTAGTGATGTTGGCTGTTTCTCTCATTCACACACACACACACACACACACACACACACACACACACACACACACACACACACACACACACACACACACACACACACACACACACACACACACACACACACACACACACACACACACACACACACACACACACACACCATTTGACAGCAGCCATTGATCTCTGAGTTCCCTTCACTGGATCACTAAGATAAGCTTGTAGAGAGCACCAGGAAAGGTCTGAGATAATCATACACCTTACTAAGACGTCAGCTTCCAGGAGGTCAGAATACTATGCTATCTTTTAGACACTCTAAGGTCAGAACTGTGAGACAACTGAAATGAACCAGAGATTTCTCGCGTGGTTGGAACTTCGAAAATATAGAAATGACCTAAGGATTTTGGACTATAAAGAAATAAAAACTTTCGTGTTTTAAAGATTCTAAACCACTAATATGCTACGTGTAGATTGGTCTAGTAGAGTGAGCTTTTACAAGACATGTGGCATTACCTACCATTATAGGCTGTAGGCTCACTAACTGAAGTAGGACCAAAACCAACGTATTAGTTCGTTCAGTGTAATGACAGGCACCTCAGTACAAAAATTAGTCCTTTTATTACGATGTCTTAACCCTTAGAATACGATGACCTGCTCCCATGCCTCAGATGACATTGTACCAAGAGGGCTTACAATAATCTAAATATAGGAAGGAAACACCAATTTTTACAAATACTCCCAATACTTCTCACAAAAATCCTCCTGGTTCATTGCATCCTTTTCTAGTCTCTAATTTAAGGATGAGATTACTTACTTACACTATACGGGATGACACTGTCAACAACAATAGCCCCGAGCTGCTTTGTTAAGGTCTAAAGCACGCAGTAAACAATGGCTCACAATAGGCGCTTTGACATATCGTGGAAAGGATGGGACCTTTTACACAACTGCCTCATAACTCGGTCGTCTCTAAGTCTTATCGACGCTGGGTTTTGTCTTTTGATTTTATTGTTATCTTCCTGTGTTGTGGCAGCGGGAGTTATAGGTTGGTGGAGCCCGGGGCGTGGGGCAGTTCTTACTACACTTTCCCAGCACATACTCTGTTTCATATATATACTGTATATATATATATATATATATATATATATATATATATATATATATATATATATATATATATATATATATATATATATATATATATATATATATATTCATTCAGCTAATATGTTAGCCTATTATGGAGGAAAAAGGGCACTCTACTGTCGGCCTCATCAACAAACATGACAAATTCCGCAATATTTCCGGTGGCGTTGACAACACGGGGGATGTTAGACTAATATGTCATGCAATACAATCCTCAAATCAATACTGCATGGCATTGCAGTCATTATATGTTCCGAAACAAAGAGTTCTACCGTGAAACACTCATGGTTGTGCATTAATTGGGGGAGTTTTGTTTACTTCTTCTGATACTGAGAATTCAAGGAAAATGAATAATGATATACATTTCCGGCGCTTCATTTTTGGTGATTAAAATTTGTGTTTAAATTTTTATTTTGGTGGATTTTTTGGAATATCATACGAACTATGTCATGTCAGTAGCTGTATATAATCATACATTATACAGTATGAATACAAATAATACCTGGTTCATTAAGAGTAATCATCCCAGCGAGTGATTGCAGTTAAAAAAATTAATATTTTTTCATAGATGAGGAAAACATGACTAAATTTTCACTTGTGTATTTTTCTATATATATTTCAGAGTTGACTGACTTTCTTTATAATGTGACTTAAAACATAGATGGAATATATACTGTATATATATATATATATATATATATATATATATATATATATATATATATATATATATATATATATATATATATATATATATATATATATATATATATATATATATATATATATAAAAATATATATATGACGGAGTGACTGGCTACCTTATTGGTCGGCAAAATGACTTGATGCCTGTCTGAAAAAACTGACTTTCTGACACCCTAACTGATTGACAAACAATCAGATTTACTGAGTTCATTGACTTAATACCTGAGTGACTTTAGTGTACCTGGTTACCTTACCTGATTTTCACTCTAGTACCAAATAGACTAGACCCCGTAGTAGTGTAGTTTGTGTGATCCTGTAAAGTATTATAGTCTGCTAAGGAATATGTTTAATTAGTTAATTCAGACAGGTGGTGGGGAGTTGGTCTAAACTTACCCATTAAAGTTTGAGTTTACTGATTAACTTAGTTTGCTTAGTCAAGTCCTCTTCCACGGTGTAAGTTTAGAGTGAATTGTGCACCGTTTCGACACCTATATTAAGTTATACTTCGGTTATACAGGAAGAATAGTTACATGCATCGTACACAACAAACAAACTAGTCCTGTGCTTCTGTGTTACCTCACTGAATCTGGCCAATCTTACTAATAGGATTATGTCGTAAGAACAAGATATAGTATTTAGAAATATATATTCCAGGTACGAGGGGAGTATATTGAGAGACTTGTGTAATATAACACATTTTACTTGAGAGTTATTTCAACGTGTCTGATAAATTAGCGTATAAGATTATCGTAAAACTAAAGCAAATTATCGTACTTATAAAGAAATATTCCAAGAACACAGTTATTGTACGTAGATATATGACGATTACAATAATTCAACATAGCTAAGGAATTAACTCAAGGAACTGCTTTGTTATGGAGTCGAGGAGGAGGAGGAGGACGAGGAGGGGAGGGGGGTGGGGGGGAGGGGGCAGGGAGAATTATCGTACAGTGATATGTTCTAAGTATAGGAGATAGTATGCTAAGGGGCTATGATGACTGTATATTTTTTGCAGTAATAACATAATGGTCTCCACGTATCTGAGAATTTACCTGTGCTAATATCATGCTTTTATATTGGCTTAAAACAAAAGGTTAGATTATCGTATTTCGACCGTATTTATTTGTGTTTAAATATGATTTTATTATGTTGTCTATCGTTCTATTGTTTTTTTTCTTTTCTTATGGCTGGATATGGCCACTTTCCCCTTCCACCACCACCACCACCACTTATCCCCATAAACAGGTTCCCCTCACAAGGCCAGTCTCTTCCCCTGGCTTCAGCCCACTATCATAACTGTTGACGCAAATCAATATGTTCTCCCCTCTCTTCCCCTCAACACAAACATTCCTCCCTCACAGTATCCCTCCTCGCTACATCTACCATCCTAAAACGTAAACAATATCCCTCACTATCCCCTCAAGTCACAATCACCCTCATATTTATCCCCCCAGAAAACATAAACAAGTCTGTATTTTTCCCTCACAATATCTTCACAAAACATAAACATTGTCCTAACTTTCCCCTGAAGTCACTTTTATTTTTTATTATCTTCCTCGTGCAGTTTTTCGTCTCGTTCTCTATTAGGTTCTTCCTCGTGTATTTATCTCTCTCTCTCTCTCTCTCTCTCTCTCTCTCTCTCTCTCTCTCTCTCTCTCTCTCTCTCTCTCTCTCTCTCTCTCTCTCTCTCTCTCTCTCTCTCTCCGTCATACAGTTTTCTTTCTTTCCTACACACACCCGCGTTCTCTCTCACTTTTTTCACTCTCTCCCTCATACTCTCTACCTAACTCTCCCTTATACCCTCACGCTTACTCTCTACCGTACGTTCCCTCACACTCTTTATCTCACTTTCCTTCACTCTCTCCCTCATACTCTCTACCTCATTCTCCCCTACACTCTCCCTCATACTCTCTATCTAACTTTTCAGCAGTCCCTCCCTTACACTCTCCCTCTCTCTCTCCATCACAGTCGCGCCGGTGTGTGACGAGAGCCAGCGAGATGAATACGTAGCTCCCCACGGTGGCTCCGCCACCATAGCCTGCAGTATCATCGCCTACCCTGCCTCTGTCACCTTCACCTGGGCGCTCAAGAGGACGCCAGGTATGTAATAATAATAATAGTAAACGGTATATTAATAGAGTTCCAGCCGGTGGTTGAAAATATACAAACTTTCATGTGATTTAGACATAATAATATACGTTCAATACATTTACAGGGCTGTACAGTACATAAATGAGGAGCTGTTTATTATTTTAACAATAGATGGGATGGTGCTATTCTTATATCTCTCGGTGCGGGCTCTTATGGGCTGAATTTTGCTGTAGTGGCGGACTGCGCGAGGTGGGCGGGGGACTGCCGGTGGCAGTAGGTGGCGATGACGAGAATGGTACAGTAGTCCACTGCCAAAACCTGCCAGTGCGTGGTGGCGCAGATCACTGAGGGATGGGATTTCCAGAGTGGAGAGAGCGTTGTTGTAGCCGGAGTAGTCTGCGCCGAGCTTGATTCTGCAGGCCCTCTTCTGTACCTTCTCTAGCTGACGTTGTTGGGTAGAGTTGAGAGGTGATGACCAGGCTGGTGACGCATATGTTAATTTGGGGAAAATAAATGCGTTGTAGATAGTCCTCAGCTCTGGCGTGGGTGCCCCAAGGACCTGAGTCGTCGTAGCATGTAGAGTCGGTACGAGGCTGCGTTGATTGTGTTGTTTACATGGGCCTTCCAGTCCAGTTTGTGGTCTATAGTTACACCCAGGAGTTTGGCAGACTGCACTAACTGGAGAGGATGGGCACCCACTGTACAAGTAACTGCTGGAGCTTGCACTGGAGTAGTGGCGGTATTGAAGTACAATGACTACGGTTTTGGTGTGATTGATGGTGACCTTGTTCTCCGTAGTCCATGCCTGTAGGGTGCCTTGTAGCGATGAGTAGTCCGGTGAGGTGTTTTCCACTGTAACCCCCACAGTGCAGTCATCCACGTACTTCCACCTGTGAGGAGTGTCCGATAGAGCGTCGTTGATCAAAATTAGGAAGCACGGTGGTCCCATCTTGGTCCCCTGGGGAATACCGCAGCTGAGGTGTTAGAATATGGAGACAGAACCCTGGTACCTCACTGCCTGACGGCGCTCACTCAGGAAATCAGTGAGCCATGACACAAGGTTGGTGGGCAGCCCTAGTGCAACGGCTTTGTTGATAACAGTGCAGTGATCAACAAGGTCAAAAGCCTTCCTGAAGTCAACAAGGGCAACGGCCAGTGATGTCTTACGTTTCTCCAGATGTTTTGTGCAGAAAATCCAGGAAGCTAACTAAGCAGTGTGATTGGGAGGTCAATTGGGGTTGTAGAGCGTTTGGATTTAAATTTCAGGAGTTTGTTATTAGGTACTCCTGAATGTGCTGCTTAAGGATCTGTTAACCAAAATTTGATATCTTGATTATAACTTGTTCAAATGGCTTTTAGAAAATGTTCAAATGATTTTTAGAATATTTTAATTACTTTTGCAATGCTAATTACTCGCCACTTATGGGTTTTCGAGGTCATTTCTTGGTGCTTGTGTATTATTCTGGATGTACTTAAATAGTTAGGCACATTAAATTTTAGTTCAGAGAGAAAACGTATTTTTGGCCAAAAATCCTTTAAGGCTTTAGACTTACAATTTTTGTCATTTTCGGCCAAAAAATGGATTTTGTTCAAAATTTCAGTATAGGTACCAGGGCTGTGGAGTCGAAGACAAAACCTTCGACTCCGACTCCGACTCCTCAAATTTTTATGCTTCCGACTCCGACTCCGACTCCTTGGCCTATTTGTAACAACTATTTCTACCATCCTAATTGTAATTTGTATGTTGTAACCTGCATAGGTAAAAAGTAAAACACCGTGGCTATACTGCTACAGCTTTATTAATGATCTGGACGATATTTAAGAACTACAAAAAGATGATAGGCTTGACTTTCAAAGTTTCAATCAAAAGAAAAATAAATTTATTAAGAATTCAAGATATTAACTAGAAAACACCATTTACATGTATATCTAAAAGTTCGATCTCAGCATATGAATTTTGTTTAAGCTCATAATCTGATGTGGATCTAAATGATGATCCTACAATTCCTTTTAAAGTAAAGTTATATATTTATGTACATTAAAGAAATGAATACCTTATTAAGGAAAATGGATAAACCTTACATGATTAAGTTATTAAATTAAATTTGCCTTAATCTCACCAAAAACAGGTTGTAGCTAATTGTTTTGTAGCTGAGAGCCTCTGTGCAGTTTTCAACGAAACAAAATTTGATATAATTCAAAATTTCAAATGGTAAAGAAGAGACTATCGTCCAAAATTATAGTGCTATACTGTGCCTGCTACAATAAATTCATAATAATGCTTATAAAATGGAAATAAATTCTTTTAATAATTTAAGAAAATTAGTGGGATCAGTGGAATCACTGCAATGAATATGCCTGAGTTCATATATTTGTTCTTAGGAACAGAATAGCTTCAGTCGGAGTCGGAGTCTGGACAATTTTACCGACTCCGACTCCGACTCCACAAGCCGAAATTTCCTCCGACTCCTCGACTCCGACTCCGACTCCGACTCCGACTCCGACTCCACAGCCCTGGTTTGTTGGCAATTTCAAATGGTTGAACACTGGGAGGGGAGGAGGGGGAGGGTAAGTAGGCCCGGAGGAGAGTGAGGTCAAGACTGGGTAGGGTATGACATATGGTAGCAAAGTGGTTATTTATTCTCTCAGCTGCCTCCTCACTAGGTAAATGAGAGATAAAAAGAAATGTGGGAGACTGGCGGTTAAGACCACAGAGATTTTTTACCTTAGAGTACCACTGACCGATACCTACCTCCTTGAGGCCCTGCACTTTCCTGGGATAATAAGACTTCTTGGCTGACTTGATTTCCCTGATGACTTGGTTTCGTAGACTTTTGTACAGGCGGCTGTTGATGTAGTATGCCTTGTTGCGCTGCTCAATTAGTCTTTTGATAAGGGCTGAAAATATGTGGTGGTAGGCTTTGGTGATAGTGTCCAGATAATTATCCCACTTGTTCTGCACATCGTCTACCGTGATCACTTCAGTCCAGGGATACCGGGTCACCCATTGTCCGAAACGCCGCATGGTAGAGTCAGGGGTAGGTCGGTAACTCCTGGTGACAACTGGCGGTCGTGAGATGGCGGGTGTAGGTGGCCACAGTAGAGACAGATGGGGGCTCCGCCCCATGGGAGGCAGCGGCTGGGGGGGGAAGGTAGTGGTTGCCGAGATCAGACATGATGAGGTCCAGGGTGGCATTCCCATATGTAGAAAAGTCAACTATCTGTGCAAGGTGGAGGTGTTGGGTGATGTTGCTGATGTCTAACTCATTAAAGTCACCGTATATCACTAGTTTAACACATGGAAATCTGGATCTCAGGGAGTCAGAGGTGTCTATTATATGAGTAACCAGTGCGTTGGTGGTAGGTGAACGCAGGTGGTGATAAGCCCCACAAACAATGAGGGAGGCAAGCTGTATGTATGTATGTATGTATGTATGTATGTATGTATGTATGTATGTATGTATGTATGTATGTAATAATAATAATAATAATAATAATTAACAATTTATTGAAAGAGCATGGCAGCTGGAAAGCTGAAAACATACAGTTACATAACTGCGGAATGGGTCTCTTGATTGACAAATATTATACAAGTAAAATACAGTATGCGATACAAATATGATATATAATGACTAGGTGGGGAGAAGGTCATACTACAGGGCATTTCAACATGTTGAAAGTGTAAAAAGGTAAGATTGACTGGGAGTGAATACACTGGTTGATTACAAGTTATTGATAATTTTTACAATGATTGGGCTGTTCTTTTAGCGATCAGTACGTGCTCGTATGGGCTGGATGCAGTTGTGGTATCGAACAGCAATTCGCGGACGAGGGATCTCGGGTGGTAGTAGGAGCTGGTGTCGAGGATGGTGCAGAAGCTTCTCACCAAATTTGCAGATGAGGTCGTGGTGATGGTCAGTGAGAGCCGAGAGGGTCAGTGTGTTGAACGCTTCTTGATATGTGGAGTAGAAAGGGGAGAGAATAATTTTGCATGCCCTCTTTTGCACTTTTTCTAGGTGTTTACGTTGTGTGGCATTTAGGGAGGAAGACCAGGCAGGGGAGGCATAGGTGAGCTTGGGAAATATGAATGTTGAGTAAACACTGAGGACCTCGGGCGCAGGAACTCCGAGGGACTTGAGTCGGCAGAGGAGGTTGTGACGGAAACTGGAGGATTTGACAACTTCACTGACGTGTGTTTTCCAATTTAGTTTGTTATCTCTAGTGACGCCGAGGAGCTTAGTGGAGTCTACAACCTGGAGTGTGTTGGGTCCTAAAGTAATGGAAGACGGTGGGACAACGTCGGAGGAGAGGTTGATGTGCATAACCATGGTTGGTTTGGTTGATGGTGACTCGGTTTTTGGTGACCCAATTTTGGAGACTTCAATAAATCCTGGAAGGCGGTATAGTAGGGAGTGGAGTTGACACTGATACCAATGGTGGAGTCGTCGACATATTTCCAGCGAGCAGGGGTTTCTCTTAGGGCATCATTGATGAGCACAAGGAAGCAGAGCGGTCCCATCTTGGTGCCTAGGGGGACGCCACAGGTGAGTGACTGAAAAGTGGAGACAGCCCTTCGGAAGCGTACTGCTTGGCGTCAGTCACTGAGGAAGTCTGTAAGCCATGGTATAAAACTTCTTCGAAACCCGAGGTCGATAGCTTTGTTGATGATTATATTGTGGTCGACTAGGTCAAATGCTTTAGTGAAGTCAATGAGACTCTATACGCCTTTATCTTTGCGTATGGAAGTGTGAATATATCTGCTCTTCTCTTAGTACATAATGTATAAGTATGTGTGGTTTTTAGAGTTCAGATGTTAGAGAAAATTTTGATGAATAAAAGACATAGTTTAATGTAGGAGATTCAGGATAAGAGAGGATTAAAGAGCGTGATGGATGGAACGGGTTGAAGGATTTATCCATATTGATGAGATCTGCTAAAATGGAGATTTAAACCGTGATTTTAAAGGTTATTTATAATACCTAGTAATAAAAAGGTCTCTCTCTCTCTCTCTCTCTCTCTCTCTCTCTCTCTCTCTCTCTCTCTCTCTCTCTCTCTCTCTCTCTCTCTCTCTCTCTCTCTCTCTCTCTCTCTCTCTCTCTCTCTCTCTCTCTCTCTCTCTCTGCCATGTGTTCATATGGAATGATGGATGACGTGTGTGTACTCTGGAGATACTATGCTCTGTTGGTTTGTCTTCATGTTTACTTTCTTTCTGGTATTTAAATTCCTGTTTTATAATATGCAATTTCTGTCTCGAAATATATCTCTCCATCAAACCATATATCCCTCAGCTACCATGTTCTTCCATCAACATTATATTTTTCTACCAATTTTGATTCATTATACATTATGTTTCCCTCGTCATCCACAGAGAGCCCGGCTGTGAGGTTGCATAGTGTGGGCCGGGAGGAGGGGTTGACGGGGCACTACACACTAAGTCGATTGGAGGAAGAGAGTGTAGAGGTGCTGTGTTGGGCCAAGAACTCCGTTGGTACACAAGCCTACCCCTGCAAGTTCACTGTTTATACCCAGGGTAAGTCACCACCTTTTTCCATGGTCCACACCCAGGGTAAGTCACCACCTTCTGCCATGGTCCACACCCAGAGTATGTCACCACCTTCTGCCATGATCCACACCCAGGGTAAGTCACCATCTTCCATGGTCCACACCCAGGGTAAGTCCTCACCCCCCTCTATGGTCCACGCCCAGGGTAAGTCGCCACCCTCCTTTATGGTGCACTCCCAGGGGGAGTCACCACCTTCTGGCATGGTCCACACCCAGGGTAAGTCACCACCCCCCTCTATGGTCCACGCCCAGGGTAAGTCACCACCCTCCTTTATGGTGCACTCCCAGAGTTACCACCTTCTGCATGGTCCACACCCAGGGTAAGTCACCACCCCCTCTATGGTAAGTCACCACCCTCCTTTATGGTGCACTCCCAGGAGTCACCACCTTCTGGCATAGTGGTCCACACCCAGGGTAAGTCACCACCCCCCTCTATGGTCCACGCCCAGGGTAAGTCACCACCCTCCTTTATGGTGCACTCCCAGGGGGAGTCACCACCTTCTGGCATGGTCCACACCCAGGGTAAGTCACCACCCCCCTCTATGGTCCACGCCCAGGGTAAGTCACCACCCTCCTTTGTGGTGCACTCCCAGGGGGAGTCACCACCTTCTGGCATGGTCCACACCCAGGGTAAGTCACCACCTTTCTCCATGGTAGTAAGGCACGAGGCCTCTCAGAGTTAACTTGCTGTCAACGCAAAGGTAATACGTACTCAAGTTACTGATACATTACCTCCACAACCAAATATTTCATTACATTTTACTTTAATATCATAAGTCATTGTTTTGTTTATGTTATTTACACTGTAGTTTGGTGTTTGAGTCGACGGCGTCAGCCCTGAGGTAGAGACAACCGCTGGCAGTCTTACGGTTGTGAAGGCAACAGCTGGGATATTTCCTTTTTCCCTCATCGATATGCGGCCGACTATCCGCTCCACCTGCGTTTATAAATATATATGTCCAGCTGCCGTATCCCGCAGAATTTATGAAATAGTTTCATGTGTGTTGATCTTTTTTCATATATATATATATATATATTTTTTTTTTTTGGAGGGGGGGGAGTAAGTCGTAATATAGAATTGATACACAACAGATTCGAACTGCCGTAAAATTTGAATATTCCATGAATATCCAGAGTCATGTTGTGGGAATACGAATGACAGTGTGTTATATGCACAGAAGAGAGTTTTGTTTTGGTGTGTATCCATGTCCATATTTGTTACCAACTTGTATCATCGAAGTAAACAATGACACGGAAAGTTTAGATTGAAACTAATTGTTAACAAAGTTTGTCCATGAGTTCTGTATTTTAGAAATTATGTATTAAAGAGTCAAAAGGAGTTATTTTTCTTTAACCAATAAAACAAAATGTTTGCATGAATCTTTTCATATCCATGTGAAGTTTAGTGGGTATATAATAAAGATAATATAAATAATTTCAATACACAAACAATAATAACAGAAATAATCATTATAATATTAATAACCCTGTCTCCACCTCGTCAGACGAAGCTGTCAAAAACCAAGAACTTTGCTGTTGCAATTATATTAACTTGTCAACAGGTAACATAAATAACCATAAAAAAATCAGTCTTTATACCAGACAATGGTCATTAAAAGCTAAAATGATGTGTGTGTGTGTGTGTGTGTGTGTGTGTGTGTGTGTGTGTGTGTAGTGTAAAAATTTATTTATTATATTTTATGCGCACAAATATATAATATTCTCGCCCCTTCCCTGCTAGGAACACAACTGTCGTGTAATGACCGACTGACCCAAACCCGACCTCAGCCGGGAGCTCCCCCAGTCTGCCTTCCAAATACAGTGAATATTTTACAGCTAAACCTCAAGGCCAGGTGACTTGAATGTCTGGAGAAGGTCCATTAAGTTGTTCCACAGCTATACCAGCCCCCACTACCTCTCACGCAGCTGTGGTGTGATGGTTCTTGGTCCCCAGGCACATGACACACTGCCACTTACCCAGTACAGTGCATGGATTTTGCTCGCATGGATACATACAACATTTATTATTATTATTAGTAGTAGTAGTAGTAAGAATGCAACTTTCTATATGTTGGGAATTGCTTCTTTATTTCTATTTCTATAACCTTTTTGGTTATATTTCTTTTATTTAAGTATTTTATAAGTCTTTCTTTTCTTTATTTATTGCTTTCTGCTAATATTCTTGTTTATTTGTGTATTTCCTCTTACTTAATTTTATTCTCAGCCTTACTTAGTTATATTCTGTTCTGTGGATTAACTTGGGAAAACCACATTATTGTCTACCATTATACATTCGTATAATTATTATACCTACATCTTAGGCTGCCACCACCCAGGCTTTTCTTTGGAATATAACTTCTACAATTAACAATTGGTAGCTTGGTAGACACGAGAGGTTTAGCACGCGAGTGCTTATTATTTTCATGGACGCCAATTGTTAGAAGGAAGGAGCAGTGATGCCTACATTTTACTGAATCAATATTTATTCAAATAAAATCTGAATTTTTTGACAATCAGAACCTTTACTCACAACAACAAAAATTAGGTTCAATTACTGATTACAATAATCGATGCTCCTCGAGATCGAGGATGGCCAGCCCAAGGGCCACCTAGGCGTGAATTTGTTTTAGGTGTAGTGTCCATTCTACTGACGTCCCCTTGAAGCGGGAGGGAGCGTCGGCCCAGTCTTCTCGGTCCCGGGATATGGCGAGCGGACAGGTGGATACTCCAGTGGTATGCTTCCTTGAAGATCTGCTCCCAGAGTGACAGCAATTGGGCTGGGCGTGAAGTGTCTGCCTGTTGAGACAGAAAACGGCTGCTGTGCTGAGGCAAAGACTGCCAATCGTAAAAGCCCTTGCCGCATTTCCGCATCCCGGTGTCTAAAGGCCTCCCGCCGGAGGTTCAGCCGGACTTCTACCTCCTTATCCGGCTGAGGGCAAAGGCTGAAGGCCGAGGCGAGTCCGGAAGCGAGGGTAGAAAGGGCCTCGTAGACGCCGGATGCCGAGTCTGGATGGAGGGAGTTAGGGTTGTCGGCCATTGCTTTCAACCAGGCGCCGAGTTGAACCTGTCCTGCCATAGTGGCGAAGACGAGGGCCGCCTTCTGCCTCTCCATGGCGTCTATGGTCAGGGTGGTCTGGGCTACCTGAGAGGCCTGCCATGGGAGAGAGGACGGTTAATTTCGGAGCCCACAAGAACTCCATCAGCTCGTCTGGCACCCGGTCATCCTGGGGGGATAAGACTACGGGGACCTTGACTGGAGGTCCAGGCCCATCTTTTCCCGTGGAAAGAGGGCCTGGCCGGCCGGCCGGGCACACCTACCGTTTTGTAGCGTTGCCACTCGGGACAGACCTGCTGTGGACAGCACGGAACAGGAGGGCAGAGAGTCAAAGGCGTCCAGGGCCGTTACAGAGGACAGTCCTGACAGAGCTGGGACCATCTCCCTTCTCGACAGGCGGAGATGCCGGAACTAAGTACTCTGAACCTAAGAGATCCGCTCGTCGTCGGACCTCTAGTTCGAAACGGGGAGAGAGAACTAGGTCCCCTCCCCCGCATTGCACTCGAAAAAAGGGCCAGTCTCCCCTGGTGCCAATGCACAACCCAGTCCACGTGGGACCCGAGCCCACTTGTACGCCCCGTGGCTTATGATGATGTCATCAGGTGTCTTAAAAGAGGGCGGAGCGCCGGTAGTGAAGGGAAGTTCCCTTCTCCTGACGAAGGCCTGGGCCTTGTAAGGACTGGAGAAATTACAATGGAGGAGGTAGAGGGGCCTTCCTCCCCGGTAGTGGCGTGGAAGGTCGCCTGGCCCGGGGGGAGGGATCCATAGAAGGTCGGTAGGGTAGAAGGGTCCGTCCTTGCCGAACCACCTGGCGAGGGCTGGTGAAGGTGGAGGTCCGGAAGGGGTGAGGACCACCTCTCCAAAGACACTCTGGTCTGCCCGGACCATCCAGCTGGGGCCCTAGCGGAGGCGCGGGGTTAGAGGACTGCCGCTTCCTCCGAGCGAGCCCGTTTCCCCCTGGCCGCTGTCCTAGGCGACCTGTGGTGGTGGTGCCAGTTGTAGAAGAACTTAGCGTGACTCCCCGAGCTGCGACGGTGGAGACAGGAGGAGGAGACGAGGGCAGCTCGGCTCGAGGGCAGCTCGGCACGATGACAGCTCGGCACGAGAGCAGCTCGGCCTGAGGTCCTCGGTTGAGTGGTCTCTACCCGAGGGCCAAGGGGAGGCACATCCTCAGCAGAGAACAGAGATCCTGGTCCCTCTAGGAGAGGAGGGAGCCCCTGTGTCTGTTGACAGAAAAAAGTGGGAGGAAACCATATCTCCGTCGGCGCCGCGAAGAAACCCTGCCACCCCATCAGTGCACACCGTACAGCGACTTGGGTTGGAATCTGGTCTAACACCTCATGGCCGAGCAGGACACCTTCCGGAGCTGGGGATGAAAAAAACAAACATGAGAATAAAACAATGTAACAGAGAAGGAGAAGGGACTACAGACGTCTCTCTGCCACCAAAACCCGAACCAGACAGCGAAACTGAGTAACGAGGCGGTGCGAGGGCCTGGACGAGAGAAAACACCAAAAGAGGGTGGGCGTTGGTGGAATCCAGAGTGTCCACCTGCGCAGGGCGTCGCGAGACAGCCAGGAGCAAAGAGGGGCGGACAAGTGAGGAGGCATGGGACGTGCGAGATCCCTAGGTTCGACCGCATTTACCTCCCTGGTTAAGTGTTGGAGAAGCAGACGACTCAGGGGAACCACCTCTGCCGTGTGGTTGAGGGAGCCTAGGAAGGTCTCCCACTGGCGGCGAGTGAAACTGGCCGACAAGAGGCGACAAAGAGGCGCCGGAGTAATTGTCGTGCTGCTTAGGGAGCCTGGTCTGAGCTGGCGACTGGCGGGGGGCAACGACCGTGAAGAGGGTCGGCTGCGCGAGCAATCTGTCAGGGCCTCCTGTGGGATCAGGGACGTGGAAGCAAACAACGAAGCGACACCCTTGGCGTGAAGCACCACACAAAAGGCAAAAAAAAAGGAGGGGGAAAGGGGGCTAAAACACGTAAACAGAGAAAACAGAAAACCTGAAAATGTCCGAAGCCAGGAGGCAACCGGCAAGCCCAAACAACTCGTTAACCAGCAACATAACACCCCCTCCTAAATAACTAAGAAAACATCCTGGCAAAACCGCTGACTAAAAAACGCATAGAAGGTGCGAAGTAACAGACACGTACCAAATGCGAAGAAAAAACTGAAGCAGGAGCAAAGTCTGAACGTCTAGCTAACAGCAGGAGGCCAGGAAGAATAATCTCCCGAGTCTATACTCCGGCACGCCTAGTACGGCGCAGGCAATAAGCAGCTCTTCTGCCCAGGTTACCCATTCTCAAGTTTTTAAGTTTTTACAAGCTAGTTGCAGCCTAGATGAATCTAGATGTGTTAATATTGGCCTTTTCACCTCCTAGGGTGATATCTTGAGGTCTAATATAGCTAGTGCACTAGCTGAAGCTCGACTCATTAAAATGGCCTTTACAATTTATTAATAATTTGATTATATACGAAAATGACTTTACCATTATGATAGTAATTATGTCTTTGTTTACTTTTCTTATCAAAGCTTACAGCGTATCATATGAGCACAGTGGCATAGCCTCATGAATACAATGCCAACATCTTGAGCACAATGACTTAGCCATCAGTCCGACCTCTTATCCCTTTGAATTCTACGACCAATTTCCTAGAAGATGGATGACATTATGTTCAGGAAGAAGTCATCGTGTTCAAGAAGTTAACTTTATTTAGTAGTGAGGTTTTTCTCTGTTCTTTCCTCACAAAAGAACATTTCTCTTTAACAATGAGGTTCGATCCCTCATATATCCACTTTACTAATCTGTTAAACCTATGGGGTGCGGAATCCAAGTGGATACAATACTCACCTCTTTTGGGGGCCTGATTCGCACTTTACTCGCCGAAAATGAATACTTAACTTTGCTGTTGGGGAAAGTACAGACTGTTGAGTGCAGTACTGTCCATTATACCTCCTGATGCACAGACGTCGCGTACAGTGTGTTGTATCCAAACTGCCCTTGATAGGTTTTCATGACTCACTTTGCATTTTCAGATTGTTATAACGTTAGTATAATTCATTATATCCACGTTGTATAATTTACCAGATTCTATGATAATGATTAGGAGGTATTATGAAACTAAATGGAATAATAATAATGTTTCCTTTCTTCTCTTACCATCCCTTGCTTACCATCTTTATTCCAACTCCTATCTCTAATCTTCCATCCCTCCTTTATTTACTTTTCATCTCCCTTCTTTATTCCTCTCTGTTGGTATTCAATTTAATCGACTATCTGCTCTTGTTTTATGCATCAACCTTGTCTCCATCGTTATCTTGTTTTGCTCTCTCTCTCTCTCTCTCTCTCTCTCTCTCTCTCTCTCTCTCTCTCTCTCTCTCTCTCATCGGCCTTACACTGAAAACTCTTATGCGTTTCTTATTTCGATTGTATATTCCTGTGCTGTGTCCTCTGTTCTGTTCTGCTTCTGTTCTGTTCTGTTCTGCTTCTGTTTCTGTTCTGTCTCATTCATGATCTTTCACCCTCACGTGTGTATCCGCCTTCTTTTTTTTTCACTTTCTCTCTTACCTACTCTTTACTCACCCTCTATTCTCTCTCATTTTTCCCTCTACTTCTACACCATATTTGTTTCCAACCCTTCTCCTTCCTTCCATTTCTCCCCTTTTCCTTTATTATTCCTTTCCCTCCTTCATCCCTTCTATTTTCACCACCTCCTCTGCTCCCTCTCTCCCTTTCTTTTTACCCACCTTTTCTCCTTTTACCCTCTTCCTCTCTCTTCTTTAATGCTTTAATGTTCTTCCTCTTCCTCTCTCTCTCTCTCTTCCTTCCTCAATTTCCTCTTCCACTTAATTTCTCGATTGCATTTCTCTTCCTTTTCCTCATGTCATTAATCTTTCCTTTTATCCACTTGTTCTTCCTCTTCCATCCATCATTCCTTTACTCTCTCTCTCTCTCTCTCTCTCTCTCTCTCTCTCTCTCTCTCTCTCTCTCTCTCTCTCTCTCTCTCTCTCTCTCTCTCTCTCTCTCTCTCTCTCTCTCCCCCCCCCAACAGGTCGTCCAGGTCCAGTTAGCAGCTGCAAGGTTGGGAACCACACAGCCTCTGGGTTCATGGTCCGCTGCGTATCTGGCCCCCTTAGGAGCATGAACACGGAATACACCTTGCTGGTCTATGCTCAGGTGAGTCTTGGAGGCATACAAGCGAATATTGTTGACGTGCTAGTGAGTGTTGCAGACATAGGAGTGAGTATTGGAGACATGGTAGTGAGTGTTGGAGACATGGTAGTGAGTGTTGGAGGCTTGGTAGTGAGTGTTGGAGACATGGTAGTGAGTGTTGGAGGCTTGGTAGTGAGTGTTGGAGGCTTGGTAGTGAGTGTTGGAGGCTTGGTAGTGAGTGTTGGAGACATGGTAGTGAGTGTTGGAGGCTTGGTAGTGAGTGTTAGAGATAGTGGTCGGTCTTAGTGGTAACTGGTATATAACACTGTGTGTTATGTGTTTCAACTGTGGTCAGTATCCACCCGTACAGTCCTGACCTTCCCAGGTTGTCTCTGGCTCCATGACTTTGTCAACCATTTATCAACTTCAGAGGTTTTTCGGATTTCGGATAAATTATTGTACAATCTAATTGCTACTATATTACTCAATACTTAGGTGACCTTTGACCTCTGAAATTACCCCTAACTAAATATAACTTGCAGTCGTCTAATGGCATCAGTGTTGTTTCATCCTGTGTAAGGAACTTAAATATATCAGTATATATATATATAAGTTCCTTACACAGGATGAAACAACAGTATCTCTCTCTCTCTGTATATATATATATATACTGTATATATATATATATATATATATATATATATATATATATATATATATATATATATATATATATATATATATATATATATATATATATATATATATATATATATATAATTGTACACCCATTTATTCATACACGTATGTATGAGTTTACACTCGCAGGAAAGATACGAAATTAAAGTCTGCCGAAAGATATCATCAACATTTGGCCAAGGAAAAAACAACTTTAATTCAGCTTCCTCATTCGTTCTGGAGGAGACAGCGGGGACAAAGGCAGGTCAATTGTGCCCGGGGTTGGCTGCCTCCTATAATCAGAGGAGGGCGCCCGTATACTAAGATTGCTTACAGGGAACATGGCACTCTCTTCCCCTGCCTCCTGACTCTGTACGACATTCTTTGGTCGATTTAGTTTTAAAAGTATCAAACCAGAGATCCATTAAGATAAATTCAGATGTTCTCAGATGCATTGTGATGCCTTGAAATGTTTGCTTGTATCCTTCAGACGATTTTAGATATCCTCAAATGCATTCAGATGTATTCAAATTGCTCCTGGGGACGCGGTCTCTCTTTCCTTGCGTTGTGGGAGTGAGGATTTGCTTTCGTTTATGAACAAACTTCCACTCAGATTCTCTCAGCTACAGTCAAACACAACCAGATAGGATCTCATGGAAATGTTACCTCTCTCTTCTTGGATTCTTTCACTGAGGATTTTTTAGTGAAATTTTGCGTTATGTAGGATCAAGTTAGCCTCTTACATAAACTTGTGAAATAAAGATACCCGGTAGTGTTAAGTTATGGATGTTTATGTGTTCCTGTGTGTAGATCAACGAGAGTGACAAAAAATATATCATTAACTGCATTAAAACAGGACCTATACAAATAATTCCCTCACACGCGTAATACATCCATCAGTCAAGTGGAAAAAATACTCTAATAATCAAACGCATAAAAGAAGGTAATTTAACAACAGAGAAGAGCGAGAAACTTCACAGGAAAAGGAAATATACTAAATGCGATATATGAAGAGAGTTATTTAACGAGGTGGGTACAGGATACTGAGGGTCATCTGGGTTCAGGTCGGTGTAAAGTGATTTTGTGAAGTTTATCGGAGTATCGAGAGTAAAGTTAGCCTCAGAATTACCAATGTGAGAGTCTCGTTGCTGTCTGGGTTTATTTAGAGGTTTAGTTGTATTTATTCTCTATCTATCTTAAAGTACTGTTCCTATGATACTGTTACAAAGTGAAAATTATGGTATCTTTGCCTACTTTAAAGTCTGTGCCTCTACTGGTGTTTCTAAATATTTTTTCTATGTCCAAAAGTGGATGTGAGAGGCGGAAATGAAAGGGATGGAAGGTGGAAATGAGATCTGGGACGTTTATAAATTATACGTTTTTTTTTTATATTTATCGTCAAGGAAGCCAGAGAGTGAAGGAGTATCCCAAGTTTGATTGATATGGTTTTCGTTAAGGATAAATGGCAAGAAGTAGAAAACACAATAGAAATTTGAAGACGATAATAGGCTACTTTAGAAGGTGTATTAAACAATTTGTCAAATTTAGGTATATATTCAATGCAACGTTACAAGATGGACTTCAAAAGATGTGTCTGGCTGAAGAATGTTGGTATGGGTCGGTGACAACAAGAGATAATCGAAACAGAATTACCTTGTATGCTGGTGGTGGGGCCCTTGAGCACTGAATACTGAAAGTCCTCCCCAGAGTATGAAGGAGGGAAATGGTAGATAAAATATAGTTAACCTACAGGATATTTATTTAGGGTTTTTAGAGCATGTAATAGGAGAGAACATCCTGTGTGTCTTGTGACTTCAGGTTACATACATAAGATATGTATTATAAACCTATGACCATGTCAATTAAGAGGTAGCAGCCCTGCACCACTTACAGTACTGTATCTTCGCCAGAGCACATAACGCAGCGGGGCTCCTCCGTTGCCATATTATCAACTAAACACATCTTTTATACCACCATAATTCCTCACGATTATTATATAAAAAAAATATGACAATCGTACAACACCTCAAAGCCTTCATGAGCTCCTCCCGGACAGGCAGTACCTGGGAGGCCACAGAACGACAAAATACGTGGGGCGAGGACATTTCCTGGCCAATATTTCAGGTGGTAACATCATCAGGGTCGGGGCGGATGGAACAGATAGCTCTTCTGGGAGGATAAAGCTTGCTGGTTTATGTCTACCACTGTCACATAACTCTCCCGGCGGCCATTAACATTTCCTGAGTGTGGCTGAAGCTGATGGTGACCACGCCAGGTCAGTCGACGGTGTCAGAAAGGGAGGCGGAAGGTCAACAGTCGTTACTAATAGAGAATAGGGGTGTTCAGGCAGGTCACTAGGCAAGTGCTAAGATGCTGAGGTTGTAGGCAAAGGAAATCACCAAGGATGATCAGTGAAGCTCCCAGGCACCGCAGTGAGTGTAGGTCGAGTGTCATTACGTTGCTCAATGAAAACTATGGAACACGCGAGTCACCAAAACCACCACGGCAATAAAGGTTGGGAAGGGCACTAGGTTATGATATAAGAAATGCAGGTAAGGAAGGACAACAGCAGTGCCAAGAAATATATGGGACTCGAGGACACCAGGCAGTAAACATAAGAATTTAGGTCGAGAACGTCACAAAAAGTACCAGTTAAGAAGTAGATCACAGAGGTCACAAACATTGCCATGAAAGTATAGGTATGAAACTTAACCCATAGTACAGGTTAGCTGCGAGTCACCAAAAAATTCCAAGTAGCATAGGAAAAAAACATTAGGATCGTGATGTTAATGAGATAATGTCATGGAGGTTGAGATATATTTATGTATCAAAGAATAACTTGCAGTATAAACCCCTATACTATCTACTTCCTCCTTGGCAGAAGCATGAGAGTAGCCGTGGCGGTACCGGGGAGAGAGGAGGAAGTAGCAGTACCAGTGGTAGCGGCGTCAGCACTAGTAGTAGCGGCAGCGGCAGTGACAGCAGCAGTAGAGGAGGCCAGCAGAAAAAGGAGGAGGAAGAAGCAGTTCATACTCTAGGGCAGCTGGTCCGCAATCTTACCACCACCTCCCCGTTCTTCGTGTGAGTTAACATTTCGTGAACTTGGTCATTCGCTCTCACAAATTAACTCACTTTATTGGGATTATTGGCCCCCCTGTTAGCCATTTCCCATTGAACAGTCCCTTAAGTATCGTACTTTAGTCTTTTTTTAATCTAATCTACCCATCCTCCTCTCCCCTAACCTTTCCCACTCTCTCCCTTATCCCTCCTATTGCCTCCCACACCCTTCCCATTCCTTCCCTCACACACACACCCTCTCCCTCACATCATCCACTCTCTCCCTCACATCATCCACTCTCTCCCTTACATCATCCACTCACTCTCTCCCTCACCCCTTCCTTCCCTCACCTCCACTCCTGCCCTCACCTCTCCCAATCTTTTTCTCACTCATAATCTCTCCCTCACCCTTACTTCCTCCCCCACCTCTCACACTCCCTCCCTCACCCCCACCCCCTCCCTCATTTCTCTCACTCCCCCTGTCTACCACTCCTCTCGCATGACTCTCTTTCTCTCTCTCTCTATCCACACGTTTTGTACCACGTCTCCCCTATCCTCTCTACCCTTTCCTTTGAGGTTTCTGTCCCTTGATCCTCCCCACACAAAGTTAACAAAGGAATAAAGATGATACTAGACAGTTTCGTGGTAAGTTTCCCGCTATCACAGTCCACCAACAGTTGATTCTTTTAGTCAAGATTCTCAAAGGTTCGTACGGTGAAATACCCTCGTGACTAAAGATGTAGGAATGTCTGTCACTAATTATCAGGAGTTATTATATTTTTATGTTCATCTGTTTATTAATGTATTTACGTATCAGTGTACGTGTTTGTTTTTATGCTTAATTGTTCAGTATTTACAGCGTTTCAGAGGCAGTGAACACAGCCGAGAATCTGCCTAAGGTGGCAGCTGTTCCTCACAATAAAAATCTTCTCGTGATCTTGTGTTATGCTGGAACAATATGATGATTTCCCTCCTCTTTCTTCTTGTATGGGATAAATAGATATTTCTTTTCCCCGTGACTTGTAATATATATCTATCTATATCCTCCTATGGTGACAAAATATATCTACCCTCCTCGCATAATGGTAAAATATGTCTACCCATTTCTCCTATACCGGCAAAATATATCTACCGTACCTCTCTTCTTCCTCCTTGCGCCTGATATTGCCCATTCCTCACACACATGACAGTGATTCCCACACAAAATTTGTTTTTGTTTTTTCTTAGGAAAAGTTTTACCAGTGCTTGCAACCCTTGTGAGAACTCCCCCAGGAAAGTTTTGGCTCTGCTTTTGCTCATATTCTCAAATCTCTCTCTCTCTCTCTCTCTCTCTCTCTCTCTCTCTCTCTCTCTCTCTCTCTCTCTCTCTCTCTCTCTCACACTCGCATTTCCAGCGTGAAAGAAGGCTGATTGCTCTCCCTGTTTTCTTTAGAGGATTTTCAGAACCTGCCGCATCATGTGAAAAATTAAATCCCAGCAACCAGGTATTTCCATTAACCTATCTTGTACTTCTTAAATTTCCTAAGTCCCTCGTTCTTGCTTAAATGCGTCGTAAATTTACCATATGATTTTGCCTTGGCCGCGGATCATGCTTCTATTCTTCCTTGTCTTTGTGAAATTTTTTTGCAATGTATTATGAATGTGATTATCGTGTATTGGTTCTAGATTCGAAAACCCATTGAAATAGTAAAGTGTGTGTGTGTGTGTGTGTGTACATCCTCCTTAGTGTGTTTATAAGATAATGGTGTGTAAATAACAACGGCTGTGTATCTGGGTCAGAGTGACGGCCACCCTTCCACTAATCTAGACTTGGCCTCAGGTTCTTCATCTTTCTTACGTTACTGTTCTCCCTTAAATGGATGATGTGAGAATACACACGCGGGCCCCACACATATACCACAAGGCAGAACAAGCATAGTGAGGAACTGATAATACGACCGATAGCAAATATAATAAGATTAATAAGGAATCACCTGAAGAATAGGCACCCAAGCTTATTTCACTTGTCCTTTAACATAACTAACCTAATCTAATCTAACAAAACATAACCTAACCCCACCCACACACACATACAACTCTCCGCCGCCTCTGTCACAACTCTCACACACAACTTTCTACATCTATAAATACTTGGACCATAATAGCGATTTATGTCATACGTTGATACACTAACTGCTGGAGGGAACTACGCCGAACGAAGACTATTATTAGCTATTATCGTCTTAATAACACGTTTGTATAACACACGAGCCCCGGCGACACTATTAACATTACTTTTAGACCGTCGCTGAGGCTATAGATCTATTCCTTTAAGCAGTAAATGATAGAAGTTTCAATTATACCAAAATAATAATAAAAAAAATCCCTGCGGGGAATTTATTGTGTGGATAATATAAAAAAAAATACACTCTTACCCAATTGAAGTTTATATCTGTTGAGAAAGTCCTTCGTTCTGATCTTTCGAGGACATTAAGAAGGAAAAATAAAGACACTAAGGCAATTCAGGGTCATAGATAATCTTTAAAAAAAAATGGCTATCTGTATAATCGCAATTCCTGTTTGTTTACTGAATAGATTGGAATAATATGAACTTCGAATTCCCTTACAGATATTTGGGACACGAAATTAGATGTCAAATGTCCTTTCGACCCAGGCAGCCCTTCTGAAGTATAGTAGTTGGGCGCAGAGACAACGGCCAGACGGACAGACAAGAGATCATAGTGTAGAGGTTAGGGGGAGGGGGCAGGATTTAGATGAAAGAAAGGAGAACAGAAGAGGAGTGGAGAAAGAATAGGGTAGAGGGATAGGGGAGAAAACATCAGAGAGAAGAGGGAGGGGGAGTGAGCATTGGGTAAAGGAATAGGGAAAGATTAAAAGGAGGGAGGAGAAAGGGAGATGGAGAGAAAATGGGAGAGAGGGGGAGTAAGGGCAAAGCGGAGGTAAAGAATGGAGGCAAGGAGGAAAAGGTAAGGAGAAGGGAGGCGAGGAGGGAAAGGTATAGAGAAGAGAGGGAAGGGAAGAGATGAGAGGAAGAGTTGTGGAAAAATTTATGCTTTTCAGTGTGTGTGTGTGTGTGTGTGTGTGTGTGTGTGTGTGTGTGTGTGTGTGTGTGTATGTGTGTATGTGTGTGTGTGTGTGTGTGTGTGTGTGTGTGTGTGTGTGTGTGTGTGTGTGTGTGTGTATGTGTGTGTGTGTGTGTGTGTGTGTGTTTGTGGTGTATGTGTGTGTGTGTGTGTGTGTGTGTAACATAGAGTGTTATTGATTGTTCACCTTATTGGGCCTTGATGGTGGTGATGGTGCGTGTTAGTGGTGATCGTAGAGGTGTTATTGGATGTGAGGGTGATGGTGGTAGTGATGGTGGTCGTTGTCGTGGGTGATGGGGGGTAGTGTAAGATAGTGATGGTAATGTCATAGGTAATCCAGGTGATGTTGGCGATATTTGTAAGTTGTTGTGTACCTGTGTGCTTGTTTGTAGGCTCGTGCTGTGTGTACGTAGGTTTATGTGCGTGTAGGATGTGCTTGTATACATGATCGTGCTGTGCAAGTGTCTATATGAGTGTGTTGTGTATGTGGTGTGTTGTTGTGTTCATGCGTCTGTTTGATCGTGTTATGTTTATCTGATGTGTGTGTGTGTGTGTGTGTGTGTGTGTGTGTGTGTGTGTGTGTGTGTGTGTGTGTGTGTGTGTGTGTGTGTGTGTGTGTGTGTGTGTGTGTGTGTTTTCTGTAACGCTTTGGAAATCTTCAAGTTTTTTTTTTTTAGTCAACTGCTGCACTAACGAGTTCCCTTTGTTTAGTGAATTGCCTTCCGTAACTGATATTGCAGGTAGACTGTAACCCCGGGCAATTTTTATTTTTATTTTTTTTCTAGCTAATTAATCTTTTTGAATTCCGAATTTCTCAAACTGCAAAATAATGTAAAGATTTAACGCTTTATTTATATAGTGACCCTAATTTGTATAGACATTTCCAAGATACTAAACTTATCACTTCACTCTCCTACCAAGATCTTTCCTTACAAGAAGTTTTAGATTATTTTAGGAAGGAAAGAGACTTGAAATATTTCCTTAAAGCCGTGTTTCTCTCTTTCCTCGGGTCGTAAACTACTAGTCCTTCTCCATGAAAGAATCCGGGGATTTGCCGATTTACACTAGCGGGTCGTCTAGGTCGTTCTGCTGGGTATTTACTGCCTCTTACTGCCCGTCTGTATGTCTAATGGTAGAAAGGGAGGAGCAGTTCTTGAGGTGGTCTCCTGCTACTTTGCTGACGTTCTTCTTAATAGGTGTAATTTTGTAACGCTATGTGTGTGTGTGTGTGTGTGTGTGTGTGTGTGTGTGTGTGTGTGCTAAGGAATAGAGCTAAAACTACCATAATATATTACTAACTCTTTTTGTCTCTACAGAGTTCATGAGGAAAAGAAATTGTAATCATCGTGTGCAATTTGTTTTTCTCCTCACCAGGGTTAGCCAAAGGTACAGAGATATATCAACACATACCTATTACAACTAATGTTATATAACATTTGTTGCTCCACCAAACACAACAAATATTTTACTATTTTCTAACACTTGTTCTCTCCTGTTGCACCGTCAGCGTGGGAGGCCTACAAGCGGGGCAGGAGTTCGCCCTTGTGGTGCAGGTGTCTAACGAGGAGGGGGTCAGCCCACCCTACGTAATCAGTGCCTTCACTCTCAAAGATAATGCCCAGACTGTCATAGGTAAGTACCTTGGTGTTGTGGTCAAGATCGGAATTAAGCGGAGGAACTTGTGGAGTGGGGAACATATTGATTTTCAAGAATACTTATTATTCTGAAGGAAAAAAAATCATAGAAGGAAGCATATTGTCCTGAGAACACACGTCATGAAAAAACACGAGTATGCGAACATGAATAAAATTTCTGGTGCGTGTTTCAGGGTTTAAAGTGGAAATATGTCTCGATGCTTTCCTCAGAGCTGCACACGTTTACCTCCCCTGGTATGTAGTGTGCTGTTTGGTTTGTTCTTCATGATCATTTTAATTCATCTGTGGTTAGTTAACTGCTTTCGGTTATAGGTGTGTGTGTGTGTGTGTGTGTGTGTGTGTGTGTGTGTGTGTGTGTGTGTGTGTGTGTGTGTGTGTGTGTGTGTGTGTGTGTGTGTGTGTGTACTGCAAACATGGGAAATGAGAAGGGAAAAAAAGGAAATATATCAAGAAAATACGATGGCCTTGTATGTCCCTGTCAGATGGTGGGATAGAAAGAGAACCCAGACTGACGTGATGAACCCACAAATAACAAGGGAGTCCGCACTGACAACAAAACCCTCACAACACCGTACACACACAGGAAGTCAGAACAATTTATGCATGACAGAACCGAAAGAAAATGGAAAAAAAAGAGATAAAAGAGACAAGGGATATACCTGAGAGAGAGAAAAAATAGAATAAAGAAAATGACTTAAAGTGACGTAAAATGAAATAACTAGACTAAAGGTTACAATTGTAGATGATATAGGAGGGTGATTTAATGATATAGTGAGATCAGGTGAGTGTGTTAGTGGTAAGTGATGGTTAATGACTAGGAAGAGGTGATGGTAAATATGTCAAAAGTGAGAAAGTAGGTTAAAGAAACACCATTTAAATGCTCTGAAGAATCCTGTGCAGGAAACCTTGAATCTGGCCATGAAGGAGTTGGGGGAGGAGGAGGAGGAGGAGGAAGAGGCAGTGAGGCTAGTAGAAGAGGCCATAAAACACGACATTAAAAGAGGAATTAGAGGAGACTATGAAGAAGATTGTGACTACGATTATGAAGACTAATTGGTAAGCAGATAGGAAGAATATCGTGAAAGGAAGCCAGGAAGGAGACCGTGAAGGTGATAAAACAGGTCATAAAAGGGGACAATAAAAGAGGAATTGGTGAAAGCCATAAAGGAGGTCAGGAATTGGTTTATGAACAGTGAAGACGGTGGAAGGAGCTCATGAAGGACACCCACCGCCAAGAAGACAACACAGAACGAATATCCAGTTTCCTGCATAAGTTTTTTTTCTCTCCAAAGGTTATCTATAAGAACTTGTGTGGAAGGAATGACACTTTATTGGTTCAGGGATTTTGTGGTTTTAAGTTTGTTCCAGTCTAATACATTTCGTTGCCAGGATGATGAGTGCTATTATTATTATTAGTAGTAGTAGTAGTAGTTGTTGTAGTAGTAGTAGTAGTAGTAGTAGTAGTAGTAGTAGTAGTAGTAGTAGTAGTAATATTAGTAGTAGTAATAGTAGCACTAGTAGTAGTAGTACGTGATGGATAATGAAACCAGAATTCGTAACACATCCCACATTTGTGATTTCTTATCTCCCACTTCCATACTTCCTTACCATTACCCCCATACCATTACTCCCATACCTTCCCATACCCCCATACCATTACCCCCATACCATTACTCCCCATACCATTACCATACCCCATACCATTACTCCCATTACTACCATACTACTCCCATACCATTACCCCCATACCATTACTCCCCATACCACTACTCCCATACCATTACTCCCATACCACTACTCCCATACCATTACTCCCTTACCGTTACTCCCATACCATAATTCCCATACCATTACTCCCATACCATTACTCCCATACCATTACTCCCATACCATTACTCCCATACCACTACTCCCATACCATTACTCCCATACCACTACTCCCATACCGTTACTCCCATACCATAATTCCCATACCATTACTCCCATACCATTACTCCCATACCATTACTCCCATACCATTACTCCCATACCATTACTCCCATACCATTACTCCCATACCATTACTCCCATACCATTACTCCCATACCATCACCCCCATACCATTACTCCCACTTCATTACTCCTTTCTCTCCCTTTATGTCAACTTCACACTACCTCCTGTTCCTCCAGATGACACAATGGTGATGGGTATTTCTCCTACATCATCCTTTTCCCTTTATTAAAATCTCAACAGGGAGGTAATTTATCGTGTTGTGGTCCTGGTGTATCGACTGCTTCTCTCAGGATCTCAGTTGACAGTAGTTCTATCCTGCTAGGAACATATATACGCTTACACACACACACACACACACACACACATACATACATACATAAATCCTACACACACACACACACACATACTGTATACTCCCCCACCTTCAATTTACCGTGTGACTGGCTTACATCCTCCAGACGCCAATCTTGTGAGGGCATGAGAGCTGAGTCCCGAGGCAATCCACCGGTACAAGGACCCTGGCGCTCCCACCTCAAGCACCCACTAGACAAACCTCCACCATTACGACAAACACAGATACAAAAAAAAAGACTGACTAGAGTTCCGCTCCGGGTCCAGAAGTTATCAGATGACAAAGTTAGTGTCCCTGGTGACTCAAACTTAGTGTACTGTACATAGTGATTTATTAATACTCTTGTGTGGTGAAGGTTAAGGATTATTGTGTGTATTGAAAATGTGGAAGTTGAGTTTGTGGTGAAAGAAATATGCATAGGGAGTTTTTCCTATATGTTATTTCAGGTTTCTTTTGTATCTGTGTATTTGTATCAATTCTTTACCATCTCCTCCCTTCCTTTAACCTTTCTCTATCCCTCTATCGACTACATACAATTATAGTATAGACATAGATAACATGAGTAGAAATCAGTGTGTGATATAAAGTACAATAAATCTTAGTATGTAAAACCTTTGTCATTTATTAAAAGTCAAGGATATGGATAAATAAATATGAAATTTTGTTGTGTTTCGAGTTTCTTTGAATAAAATAAGACATAATTATAATGTGATATAGAAGATGAAGTAAAAATAATCACTCATTCATTAATAATACAAGTGTAACCTCTCATTAATTTCCACCAATAAGATAATTCTCTCTCTCTCTCTCTCTCTCTCTCTCTCTCTCTCTCTCTCTCTCTCTCTCTCTCTCTCTCTCTCTCTCTCTCTCTCTCTCTCTCTCTCTCTCTCTCTCTCTCTCTCTCTCAGTCTCTCTCTCTCTGTCTCTCTGTCTCTCTCTCTCTCTCTCTCGTGAAATACCTCGCGATAATGAGCGACTCGCCTCTCCTGGACACGTAAACTAATCGCCTCTCAATCACGGTCTCACGGTCAAGGACAAGAAATTTCCCTGACACTCCTATCATAAGCGCTAAATTTCCCTGCCAATATTTCCATGGAGTAAATTTCCCCCTGACATTATCTTCCTGACAGGCGAGTCTCACCATTTGGTCTAAAAATCAAGATTGATAATGCATGCCATCGGTTTTCTTATGATGAAACGCAAACATGGTTTTATTTGCACTTAATATCCTTTTTGACGTATTATAGAAGACCAATGGTTATTTACGAGGACGAAATTGGATAGAGGGAGAGAGAATGTGTGGTTATTATTATTATTATTATTAGTAGTAGTAGTAGTAGCAGTAGTAGTAGTAGTAGTAGTAGTAGTAGTAAAATAATCAGTTATTATTTTCATTGTTAAATTTTATAGGTTGTATAAATAGTGCAGAACAGGAGAACGTTTACATCACAAGGCAATGTTCACTGGTTTGATTCCCGAACAGTGTAGAGTCCCTGTACACTCACCAGTAAAGTGAATACAGCTATCATCTACACTTATTCATGGTGGAAAAACTCTTCAGTGTACCGGCAGTCTAAAATGGTACTGGAATAACCCACTAGATTTTATATGCAAGGATTCAGGAGATTAGAACCAGTCTTGCCATTCTGTACTTTAGTGGGTAAGAGGCTGGTAACACTGCAACACACACACACACACACACACACACACACACACACACACACACACATCAGTCATACGCCTAATATATTGAACCTGCATATTACGAATTTACGGACTCCAAAAACAACAACAAAATTTGGTGTAAATTCTTTAAGAGTTTAATTGGATTCGTGTACAATAGTTTTTTGTTTTTTGTGTACGAGCAGAACATATTATTTGCCTGAAAATACTATTGTTTTTTTTCCTCGTTGTTGTAAATAGCAACAAGAAGCTCAACAATGACCAAGCTATACTCTACTGGTGTGTGTGTGTGTGTGTGTGTGTGTGTGTGTGTGTGTGTGTGTGTGTGTAATTTTTGTCATTCAATATAACTCCAACTTTCCTCTGTTACTATTGCAATTATCACTGTTACTTTTGTCGTATAACAGTGAATCATTGTGGGTTTTTTCCTCTGTTTATTTCGTCTTTCATACAATTGACATTTAATCGTCATTTCTTTAATTCTAGATGGCATAGTTTGATATTTAACAAGCGTGTACCTTGACCCTATATGTCTTGATACCGTTTTTAAGGTTTTTACAAAGGTCAAAGATCAACCTAGAGTCATATATGAGTGAAAATGGAAGACTTGTTGAGAAAAATATTACAAGTCAATCAAGAAACTTTATAGAATCTCTTATTACATTTTCCTACAGTGTTCCTTTGTCATCATTCTGTAAGTCATGTTATTGTGTTTTGACGGTAAGAATAAAGTGACAATGTGTTATACCAAGAGAAGCCAACAAGTAACAGATTTGTATATTTCTATTTTTCTTCTTCTCCTTTCTTCTTCTTCTTCTCCTTACCATCCATCGTTCCTTCTTTCCACCCCTCCTCCTCCTCCTCCTCCTCCTCCTCCTTAGTCAATTATCCCTCTTCCTCCTCCTCCTCCTCCTCCTTAGTCATTTATCCTCCTCCTCCTCCACCTTAG